TTTTTTTAAAGTAGAGATGGGGTTTTGCCATTTTGGCCAGGCTGGTCTCAAACTCCTGACCTCAAGTGATCCACCTGCCTTTGCCTCCCAAAGTGCTGAGATTACAGGCATAAGCCATTTTGCCTGGCCTAACACCATCACTTTCAAGGTGATCTGCTTATGAGCCTAATATAAAATCTTTGTCCTCTTGATTTAGATCTGCCTCTTATTAAGTAAGCATATTAAATAATAACTCTGAGTGCCTGATATCTATGCTTTGTTGTAGGGTACACAGACTACCAAGATTTGGCCCTGTTCATAAGAAAAGTCTCAAAAGCTATGTCAAGAGATGCTTAAATAACACTGAAGAGAGCTCAACCATGAATGTAGCAACAGTGGATGTCTGCTATAGACATACAGTAGAAGGAACATAAACTCTGAAGGGGCATCACTGAAAATTACTAGAATTTCAACAGGAAGATACATCTGAATTGGATCTCGAAATGAGGAGTCTGTGAAATAGAAAGTGAAAGAAAAGGAGGACACAAGCAAGGAGACACGAAAGACAATTTGTCCAAGAGAGGAGTAGGAGAAGCTGACAAAGGTAAGGCTACTTGGTGGCCAGGTACAGTGGCTCATGCCTGTAATTCCAACACTTTGGAAGGTGGGCAGATCCCGAGATCAGGAGTTCAAGACCAGCCTGACCAACATGGCGAAACCCCGTCTCTACTAAAAATACAAACATTAGTTGACACATGCTTGTAGCCCCAGCTAATTGGGAGGCTGAGGAAGGAGAATCGCTTGAACCTGGGAGGTATCGAGGTTGCAGTGAGCCAGGACAGCACCAATGCACTTCAGCCTAGGTGACAGAATAAGACTTTGTCTCAAAAAAAAAACAAAAAAAAAAAACAAAACAAAAAAACCCCAAAGGAATTTAAAAAGGCTGCATAGGGTCGGACTGTAAACACCTTGAACATTAAGCTAAATCATGTATCCAAACCTCAATCTTCAGGCAAACTTTGGGGCTAAGGCCTCCTCAGAGGCAAGGTACATGGTTTGTAAAAAGACAAGTTATAAAAGTAGATTTCTCTTTATAAAGGTCATTTTGGTGCCAGGGTAGAGAATGGACTGAAGAACAGTGGAAACGAAGACTGGGAGTAGGAGTCCAGTGTGGAGGTGGACTAGAATGGGAAATGCTGTGGTTTAAATGTGTCTCTATCCAGGAGTGGCCAACTTGGATAGATGGGATAGATAGATAGATAGATACATAGACAGATAGATAGATAGATAGATAGATAGATAGATAGATAAATGTGTCCCTCAAAGTTCATGTGTTAGAAATGTAACTCCCGGGCTGGACACGGTGGCTCACACCTGGAATCCCAGCACTTTGGGAGGCCGAGGCGGGCAGATCACCTGAGGTCAGGAGTTCAAGACCAGCATGACCAACATGGAGAAACCCCATCTCTACTAAAAATACAAAATTAGTCTGGCGTGGCAGTACATGCCTCAGCTACTCAGGAGGCTGAGGCATGAGAACTGCTTGAACCCAGGAGGTTGAGGTTGCAGTGAGTCGAGATTGCACCATTGCACTCCAGCCTGGGCAACAAAAGCAAAATTCTGTCTCCCCCCACCAAAAAAAGAAACAATCCCCAATGCAAGAGTGTTGAGAGGTGAAACTTTAGGAAGTTATTAGGTCATAAGGGCTCTGCCCTCACAAATAGATTAATGCTGTTATTGTAGGAGTGGGTTCCTGATAAAAGGAGGAGTCTGGTAGCCTTCTCCCAACCTCTCCTTTTGCCCAAGCTCTCTTGTTCTTTCACTTTCCAGCATGGGATGACACAGCAAGAAGGCCCTAGCCAGATGCAGCTCCTCAGTCTTGGACCTCTTAACCTCTAGAAGCATGAGTTAAAATAAATTTCTGTTCATTATAAATTACCCAGTCTGTGGTACTCTGCTATGGTATCATAAAACAAAGACATGGAGCAAGATTAGATTGGGGATTTGGACACTAATTGGACATGGGATAAAGGAAGAAGATGGGTTCAGACCATGTAGACAGTGATGCTATGATGCTGCTACTCTGAAATAATAATACAGGAGGTTTTCTTACTGTGGTGGTGGTTGAGGCCATGGGTACCTTAGAAAGCCCAGGTGAAGAGGTAGAGCAGCAAGGCTAAAGAAGCATTGAAAGAAGATTCTTGTCTTTTTTTTTTTTTTTTTTTTTTTGGGACAGAGTTTCGCTCTCGTTACCCAGGCTGGAGTGCAATGGCGCGATCTCGGCTCACTGCAACCTCCGCCTCCTGGGTTCAGGCAATTCTCCTGCCTCAGCCTCCTGAGTAGCTGGGATTACAGGCACACGCCACCATGCCCCGCTAACTAATTTTTTGTATTTTTAGTAGAGACGGGGTTTCACCGTGTTGACCAGGATGGTCTCGATCTCTTGACCTCATGATCCACCCACCTCGGCCTCCCAAAGTGCTGGGATTACAGGCATGAGCCACCGCGCCCGGCCGAAAGAACAGTCTTAAAGAACAACTGGATATACGCAAAAAAGGAAGAGGAGCAGAAAAAGGGACTGTGAAGGAGAAGAGCCAGGAGATTATGGCATGAAGGGTGCTGAGAATGGAGAACAGCCTCTTTCTGTACTCTACCTAAGCCTCATCCCCAGATGACTCAAGGCCAAGGTATCTTTCCTCCTCATGGTTGACTCGTTCACCTTATCCTAGTCCACTGTATTTCAAATTGCAGAGAATAACCCAGTAAGACTGTCTCTGTCTGTCTGTCTGTCTGTCTGTCTGTCTGTCTCTCTCTCTCATTGGGCCATGATACAAAAATCCATCTCTTATTGTGGGTTGTGATCACATAAACTCAGATCCCATCCAGCCTCCTCAGGGGCCTTGCTCTATCAATCATCTCCCTTTCCCCACAGGTATAACCTCCTCTGACAACTGGTTCTTTTGCTTACCAACATACAGACATGCTCACTTCTCTCATTATAAAGGACTACACCTCTCCTTCTGCTCATGCACCCACTGCTCATGTACCCAAATTTCCCTTTTCAAGGCCTTTTACTGTCCCTTCTTCTCCTAGGTATCCAACAGACACCAGAGACCTCATCAGTGACTTTTTCCTTTTCCTAGGTGATTACAAAGATTGGTGGATCTGACACCTATCTGTAATCCACACTCCTTTTCTTTTTTTTTTTCTAATAGAAGTGGGGTCTCCCTTCTCCGTATGTTGCCCAAGCTGGCCTCCAACTCCTGGGCTCAAGAGATCCTCCTCCTTTCTCAGCATCCCTTTGTTGGGATTATAAGCCACTTTCTAGACTCATGACTTTCACTCAGGCAATCATGATCCCTCACTTGAATTACTACAGAATTTGCATAATGCATTAGTCTCCCTATAAACTCATCTTCTACATAATTAGTAATCTCTCCAAAATGCAAAGCTAGGTCAATACCCTGCTTAAAATTATTCTATGACCTTCCACTGCCTTTAAGATAAAGACTTAGCATGGTGTTCAAGGTGTTTGAACTTCATGAACTGGCCTGTATCTTTTGGCCCAGGCTTATCTAAGGTCACTCAACAATGTACTCGCAGTGTTCAGGACCATCAAACTATCTGCAACTCCTCAAGCACCTCATAAGCTCTTGTATCCCTGTTGTATGAAGTTCCCTGAAATGCCCTTCCCTTTCCCACTGATTTCTGTGTCGGCCCTATGAGACACACCATCACCTAAGTCTTATCTATTCTGTGTTCACTCAAGGATAATATATGTCTTGTTCATCTGAGTATTTCTTGTACTTAGCACAATACCTGTATGCAGTGGGTTATTAACAAATTCTATATAACTCTGGGCTTACAACTTGGCGACTAGCTGATTTAAAACAAGTACAGGAAGCTACAGATCATCTATCTCCATCAGCAGCCAACCATTTATATAGCACCTAAGTGTGAGAATGGAGGTTCCCTAGAGAAAAAGCCCAAGAATGTGACATTCCTTTTTTTTTTTTTTTTTTTTTTTTAAAGTTTTTTGC